GTGGCGGCCGAGGGGGATCGGTTCCAGAGTGACCATCACCTGTGTGAAGCAGGAGGCTCCTGGCCTCCACCAACAAGCTTCAAAGGTTTCAGATAACCTAAAGACACTAAACAGCGTTTAAACTGACCAGTCTTCATGGGTTGGTCTTTACAGCCCCAAGTCCCAGGACAAGCTTTTCAGCTCAAACCTACCTTTCCCAAGTTTCATCAGCCTGGGAAACTTGCTGTAGGAGTTTGTGCAGAAGGGCTCATCCCCGTGTTCCAGGTACCCAGAGTAGTTCACTGCGCAGCCCAACGCGAGGAGCGGGGAGAAGAGAAAAGCAAGAGTTTGATTTCACGACTGGTAACAGTACCATTGGTAGCACATCGGGAGCTGGTTTTGCAACACCACCCTTTTATCCTGCTTTTCCTTTTTCTTTCTGTTGTAGAACAGCAGAGGCAGCACAAACTACCTCGTGCTTTATACCAAAAACCTGGTCACATCCAAGTAGCTGGGTGGTGTTTTAACATCGTCACCAGATAGAGCAGCTGCTTCACAGCCTTGATCCCTATCTAACCAAGGGATGCGATTTTGTGGTTTTAAGAACTAGAAACCTCAGCTGTAGGAATTAAAATGCTCCAGTTACCTGCAGAAATACATAACAAAGCCTTTCCTAATCAAAGCTGGTGCCCTGGAAAGAGAAGCAAAGGGGAAAATGTCCCCTCCCAGCCCTGCCACTCTCCTGCACCAGTAACTCCGGCTCTCACTCGGTTACAAAGCGCACCGCAGCAGCTGCCCTTGACACGGCACCAGGCCCTCGCGCTCCAAGCACCCCTTTCAGCTTCAAACTTCTCCTCTGTACTGCGAACGCAGGCTGGACCTGGAAGCACTGCTTTTCTCAAGGTCAGGATGCCCTTTCCTTCAATCTGTGAGCCACCAGAAGTCAGAGTATCCCAAACTAAAATACCGATAAGGGAGAGCAGGCGGCCGCTGAAACAGGAAGACAACCCACCGTCTAACACGAGCCCCTTTACATTCTTGCTCTGATCCCACGCTCACATCCAGAGCGCTCAGCTGTGCCACCCCACGAGGCCGCAGCCCGAGAGGCTCAGGGTACCCGTGGCCTCCCCTTGCCCCGGCACCCGCC